AAGTGACTTGCCTAGGTTTACATAGCTATTGTCTAATTTTGGATTTGAACTCAGGTCTTCCTAACTCCAGCCCAATCACTCTATCTACTACGCCACCTAGCGGTCCAAAATGATTTTGAGGTGGGTAGGGAAAGGATCACTGACAGCTGGAGTTGTCTTCTTGTGTAAAGTAGCATGTGAGCTAAATCATGAATGAAGCTGGGCATTCCAAGGACAGAGGAGAAGAAAGAGAGTATTCTAGACATGGGTGACCTCCTCCATAAAGATGGGAGATCAAATGTCATTTATGGGGACCATCAAGGTTGACAGTGAGAGGAAATAATATTTTCTCATCACCTATTAATGCAATTGAACTTGTTAAAGGAAAATAAGTTTGACACCTTGACTATTTCTGGGCCTGAATTCTTATATGAGTTACGTAGACACCCGGGAGAGTGTGAATTTCAGAATGGCATCAATTACATAATACCAGCTTTCATTATGTACTATTAGCAATAATACCAGGTATCTTGGGGACACATTCTCTGATGAACCTGATAGAAAAAACAATCTGCTGTGTTTATTTTTTTAGATTCTTTGTAGCACAATAAATCACTGAGCAGTTATCCAGAAGTTGTGACCTTGTATTTTGTTCTTTTCGTCCTCATTTTCCAGAAGAAGGGAAATAATTGACTAAAGGAGTCCCACCTATTTTATTAGAATTATAATCTACAGGGATTTATATCTGCCAGTGTGATTTGGAGTAAGCCTTCTTGAAGGTGGAGAAATATACTAGATCAGGTGTTCTTAATCTTTTTTGTGTGACAGACCCCTTTGGTACTCTATTAAAGCCAACAGAGCCTTCCTCAGAAGGAAGTTTTTAAATACATGAAATAAAATAAAATACATAAAAATACAAAGGAATCAATCAATAAACACTTTTTAAGCTCCTAGTATGTGCTAGGCACTATACTAAGCTCTTGGGATACAAAAAGAGACAAAGGCAATCCCTACCCTCAAGACTCTTACAATCTAATTGGGGAGAGAATTTGCAAACATATATGTATATATATAAATATATATATATATATATATACATACATACATATATATATATATATATAAATATATATATATACATACATACATATATATAAAGCAAGTTATAGACAAAATAAATATTGTTCAGCTGTTTCCGTCATGTCTGACTCTTCATGACCCCATTTTGGGTTTTCTTGGCAAAGATACTGGAGTGGTTTACCATTTCCTTCACTAAGATCATTTTACAGATGAGGAAACTGAGGCAAACAATATTAAGTGACTTGCCCAGGATCACATAGCTAGTAAGTGTGTGAGGCCAAATTTGACCTTGGAAGATGAGTCTTCTAACTCCAGGCCTGGCACTCTATCCACTATACCATCTAGCTGTCCATACAAGACAAATAGGATAAATAGGAAATAATTAACAGAGTGAAGGCATTAGAATTAAGAGAGATACGTCTGTCTAGACAGATAGATAGCATTTCAGGTTAATAAAGCACCTTATAAATATCGTCATTGGGTCCTCATAACAACCACAGGAAAGAGATATTATTATAATCATTCTCCTGGGGAAACTGAGACATAAAGAAGTTAAACGACTTTTCTGAGTATCTGAGGTCATATCTGAACTCAGGTCTTCCTGACTCCAGGTCCAGTACCCTCTCCCCTTCACCACAGTAATTAATGGAGCATTTACCAGTCCTCACCCAAATCACATTTTTTTTTCCTGCTATCCTCTTTTGTGCCATTTATTTCTCCCACTTTTCTTTCATCCATGCTGGTACCTTAAATCCAGCATAAGGCACTCCCTGGCACTGTTTAGTTTTGTTGCCGACATTTAGGGTTAAAGGGTTTGCTAGCCCCTGCCTTAATCTATAATTCTTTGATGCACTAAATTCCTTCGTTTGTGATTCATAACAATGATTGATTTTTTTTTTTACTCTCTGGACACTGTAATTCTCATTTATTTTATTGTTATAGCTTGTTCTAAGCCTGGACTCAAAAACAGTTGATTGTCACTTAACCTCCCTGGGTCTTACTTTTCTCATCTGTGAAAGAAGGGCGTTGGATTAGATGTCCTCCCAGATTCCTTCAAGCTTTAAACTTACAATTGAAAGGCAACTACATGGCACAGTGGAGAGAGTACTGGACTTGGAGTTAGGAAGACCTAAGTTCAAAAGCAGCCTCAGAGCCTAGTAAGCCACAGACACTTACTCTGTGACTTTGGGCAAGTCACTTAACTTATCTCTGCCTGTTTCTTCTTCTGTAAAATGGGAATAATAATAATAGCACTTACTTCCTAGGGTTGTTGTGAGGATCAAATGGAATAATATTTGTAAAGTAATTTGCAAACCTTAAAGCACTATATAAATGCTGGACATCATTATTATAATACTAATAACCCTATGGCATTTTAAAAAGATTTGCTCTTTGACTGAATCTGCAAAGATTTAGACCAGAATGATCCCAGAATCTATTTCTTCCAAGTCACAAGGTTAGTGGTAGAAAAATAGAGTGGGATATATGTTTCCTCGTCCTCTATCTATTAGACACCAATTTGAAAGGGAAAAAATAGACTGCATAACAAAATATCCATATTAGTTGCTCAAGCAAGACTTGCTTATTATTTTCTTCAAAATATAAACTGCTTTATTCTTTCTTTGTTTGTAAAAGTTCTCCTAAGCTCCATTACTCAATAGAGCTAGCAAGTCAATTCCTTACCAAATTGACATATCCATAACTTCCAAACGTGTGGACCCACAGTAAAATGAAGAGATGAGAATAGAGTTTAAGAATATCCCACAGTGTCCTAGATGGGATTTTTGAAAGAAGCATGATAACTTCCTGTTTTAATAAAACCACTGGCTTTTGAGTTGCTCAATTCAGTTAAATAAATATTTATTAAGCAATTACTCAGTGCCTGGCAATGTGCTAGGGATAGGAAGATAAAAAAAAATACCCTTTGTCTTCAATGGGATAAACACGAATACAATTTTAACCACTAGGGGGAAAAGTATATACTAAATTCCTCATCTGTAGAGCGAGAGATTTGTATAGATGGCTTCCAATGTACCTTCCCACTCTGAAACTATGGCCTTCTATATTACAAAGAATAAAAAAAAAAGTATATTTAAATAGGGACACCTGTGACATAAGGAATAACTTCCTGGTTCCGGAGTAAGGAAACCTGACTTCAAGTTCTTCTTACATATATTGGCCAAATCACTTGATCCAGGAAAAGCTCTTAAGGATTAATTGCATTCCTGGAACAAAAATCTCCAAATCACCACCATTAACAACAACCCCCCCCAAAAAAATGAATACCAAGTAATGTCAAGAGGTAGAGAGTGCTAATTACTGGAGTGATCAGTTAAAAGGTGGCACTTAACCCATGCTTTGAAGGAATTCAGGGTTTCTGATGGGGGGGTGTTGCATTTTGGGGTCATGGATTTTCCTTCCCATTCCATTTAAAAAGACAGTTTTCATAAGTTCCAAACAATAATCCCACAAGCTATTTAAAAAAAGACTGACCACGGCTATTAAATGATGATGACTAAGCTTGGCCCCAAAGAAGATACATTAGAAGGCACCTTCCTTATAGAAGGGGTGGTCTATGAGTATGGAATACTACCGATAAAGTTAGATTTTTTTGATGTCTTAGTTTTGTTGAAGAGGTTATTTTTCTTTTCCTTCTTGTTCAAGATGGCTGGAATGGGGGGGCTACACTGGAAAATGTAGGTGAAGTAAAAAGCAAAAATTACCAATAAAATGTATTTTTAAAATGACCCGAAGGGATTTTCATCTTATTAAAAAATTAAAGTTCATTCTTTGATATTAGTCAAAGTCTCACAGATTCAAAGCAAAATATGTTCAATACTTTTCCTCATCACCTTGCCGAGTGGCAAATGATTTTTTTCCTTCCATTTTTTAGGAGTGAGGTTGGAGAAGAAAAACAAGAAAAGAAGAGGTAGAGAAATGAAGTGGCTTTGGTTTGTGGAAGAGAAGACCAGAGGGCTGCAGCCTGGCACTCTGCAGCTTCCACTGGTGGGATAAGCTGCCAATCTGCGTTGTAACCCTGTAGGAATTTCTCCTCGGTTTTAACTAGGAGTCGCACTGCTGACTTCTCTCACACAGACACACGGAGGAGCCAGGAGAGACGGACTCCAGGAGGGAGGGAGGGGGGTAAAAGAGGAGGAGAAGGACGGAGAAGAGGTGGAGAAGGAGGTGGTGGAGGAGGAGGAGGAGGAGCACAGGTAGCAGCAACAAGCAGGGACCAGGACGCACTTCTTTCCAGATACTCCGGGAGCTTCAGCTGAATAGGCTCCTCGCCTACCTAACTACTACCCCCCAAAACTTTGGCTCTAACGTTATTATTATTATTATAACTATTAATTTATTGATTAAAAAAAAGCTAAACCAAAGGGGGGGGTACTTGGAGAAACTGAAAACCACCACCACAGAAAAAGAAAAAAAAAAGCCCCAGAACCATTCAGGATCTGTTCTGGGAGTCCTGAAACCAACAAGTGAGAAACAGCAGCAGCAAAGGCAGCGGCCGCGGCAGCTAACAGCAACAGCAGCAGCAGGAGAAGGAGAAAGAGGAGAAAGAGGAGGAAGCTGAACCTTCGGGAGCCCCCGCTGCCACCGCTGCTGCTGCCGCTGCTGCCCCGGCACTCTTCGGCTTTGGGACAGGCAGTAGTCGGGGACTGGGGAAGAAGGGGAGCGGGTGGTTGTCATTTCTTCCCTCCCGGGTTGAGAGCGGCGGAGGCGCCCCGGGTTGTTCGCGCTTGACTGGGAGCAGCTGGTCCCCTGGGAATTATGCGGCGCTTGTGGATACTGCTCACCTTTGGCTTGGTGGCCTGCGTGTCTGGGGAGTCGGTGAGTTTGCAGGCATGGGAGAGGCTGGGATTGATGGTGGTGGAGGGACGTGTTATGTGTGTGTATCCCTGGGTTTTCTAACTGCTTTTCTGGAAAAAGCTTACCTTGAGGACTCCCGACTCAGAGGGATATCTTCCGGACAGTGGCTTCCAACAGCTATCCTGCCCGTCCACCCCTGATCCTCTTGGGGATCCTATCCTATAGTATCCAGCCGAACCCCGCTATCCTTGCTTGGGTTCCCGGAGAGAGTGTACTCGTTCCCTCTGCCCCCGCCTTTTTACCCAAGGGGAAAGACAAACACACACACACACACACACACACACACACACACACACACACAGCTCTAAGCGTTTCTTTTTTTGGCATCCCTGGGGATGGGTAGCACTAGATCCACAGCCTTTTGAACTATAGAGGCCCCTGAAGTCATTCTCGAACTTCTTTGGTCTCGCGTTGGTCGTCTTCCTTTATGGCTTGAAGAAGATTAGGGACAAGAGGAGGGGGACGCAGTGGTGGCAGCAGGAGTCGGGGGTGGGGGGTGGAAGGTGCAAGAGGTCCACGCTAGGCGCACGCTGTGCCCTCCACTCACGTTTCAGCTCCTTCTTGCCCAGCCTGGGAGGCTTAATTTAGGAGAGAGCTGTTGTGCAAACTTGGGGTCTCCTTCCCCACTCCACCCCCCTTCCTCTGTTTTTCTCTTCTGCTGATGCAAGTGGCGGAGAGATTTCACCAGTCCCAAAGAATCCCAAATGTGTCTACAAAGAGAAGTTTGCCAAAGTGTTTTTTTATTTGGGGGGTGTCATTTTTGTTTTGTGTTGTCCGAGGGTTGGGCGAGGAAGCTGATTCTAAGGGAAAAGGCAGCCCGAGGGGGGCGCAGGCGGCGGGCCAGAGGCTGGGGCTCTCCTGCAAATCACAAGGAGCCTGCGCCCGAAGAGATCGAGTGCCTATGTCTATGGAAGAGAGAGCGAGTGTGAGTGTGTGTATGTGTGTGTGTGTGCGCGCCTGGGGGGGGGTCGGGATAGAGGAATGTCTCAGGGGCCACATAAGATTTGAAAGCAAAGTGGAGGGCTGGCTTTCGTTTGTTTCTTTGGAAGCCGCCGATCGGCTTTGGAGTGTCTCCCCCGTTTTAGAGGGCGACTCTTCTACTTGGCCAAACTCGCCCTTCTGGCGTGAGTTAACTGCCTGAATAAGACCTCGGGGCTTAATTGAGATGGGGAAGGTTTTGGGTCTCTCCTAGGTAGTTACAGTATTGGCGCCACTTCGCCCTCCTCCCCCGCCCTCGCCCCAGAGCAGGAGGAATTTGGTTGCTAGTTGACTAAGGCTCTGTTTCTGGGGGCTGTAAATGTTTTCCCGAAATCACCCAATGGGCGCCCTCTAAAGAGAACTGCCTCCTCTCTAGCCTGGTGCTGCTGCGGCGAAGCATTGTCTCCCTGAATGGAAGCAATCACAGCTGACTTAGTCACTGAGCAAACTCCTGGGGGCCTGAGCATTGAAGGTCTTCCCAGGCTGAGGTTTTGCTGTGTTGGTGTGTGTTCTAAGCCCCTCGATTCCACCTCCCCATCACCTCAATTTCAGTATCCCACCCCCCAACTTGGCCATTTTAATTAAATGAGCTGTCACTTTCAAGGAAAATTAAGTCATCTTGTGGTTACTCTTCACATACACACATAGCAAGTGATGTGTGATAGTATTTTTTAAACAATTTTTTCCTCCTCCCAGGTTGAGAGTACCAGAATTTGAAGTGGAGAAATGCCTTTGGTTGGTGAATAGCAGAGTAAAATGGGGATAAAACTTTGACACTATTAATCATTGTAGGATTCTCTCCGTGGACTAATCACGTCTGCTTTAGAGCAGAAAAATGTACTTCATATAATATCGAATTAGATATAGTTCCTATAATATATAAGCAGTAGGTGGTTGTTTGGGAATTCCATGCTGCACCCTAAGCCTTGTCTGTATCTTGTAGATTGAAAGTTTAATCTGTTTTAAGCGAAGCGATGTGAAAGCCAGTTATGAACTTTGTCCTGCTTACACAGGAGAGAGCTCCTATTGTTTACTATAGAGAAACATTCCAAGCTGTCTTAGCCCTGTAAAATAACAGTATCTGGAAAGGGGAAATAAGCATTCCCTTATTAGAACTGTCTCAAAGAGAGAACCTTTCAAAACAGAAGGGTGTTTTCAGAGGACCTTTTTTGCTTCTGAGCTCGTGCTGGGAAAAGTTCTATTCTCTGGATTCTAGAACGTGAACACTTGGACATCCCTTTCCGCTTCTTGGCTCATTTCAACAAGGGGACCTCCTTAAGAAAGGGTTTTTTTTAATTTAAAAATTTTTCTTTTTGTGTCAAGTGCATACCTATCACCCACATCTCTGTGTTTGGGTTTTTAAACATTTGTGAGCATATTTACTTGAATAGGAATTTCATGTTGTTAAAATGAGCTACTGCATTGTGATAAACAGGATTTTAAGTCATTGGAATATCATCCAAAAGGGCAATTAGATATTCTTTAAATGTCAACACAGAGAGTCTAGCAAAGAACCTTTGTTGGTTGGTGAGTCAGTGTTTCTTAGAAACTCAGTTTCAAAGCCCCAAATGGCCAAATACTCAATTTCAATTATTTTTAAGTCTTGTGGTTCTCTTTGTATGAGCTCGGAACATTCTAGGAAGATGATGGATTTGAAAGGTTATTTCTTTTGAGCCTTTAACAGTCACAGGACATTGCATGGTACTTTGCATTTTGATCTGGAAGCTGCAACTGTTTTCCTGAGATTTAAAAGTGATGGTGTTTTTTTCTGTGTTTAAAGCTATACCCTCCCTTTGAAAAGTATCTGAGCAGTTAGTGAAGTGTTAAATTTTAGATTTAGCCTGCAAAGGTAGAGGGAGGATGGTTTTGTACATGTTTCAAAGGCAATGTGAGAAGGAAATAGAGTGTCTCACTTTATGGGTTGACTAGAAGTGGAGCAGTAAGTGCTCTCCTAGTGAAATCCAGTTTGCCCTGCTGTAGTACATTCATGCTTTTCTGGCTGGAGCATCATGGGGAGAAAGAGAGGATGGAATGTGACTGACGTGATACACTGCTGCTTCTCCCTTTCCATGTGGCTGCCTTTAGAAGAAATATATTACAGACTGCTATAAACATATAATTTGAGCTGAAAGATGTTTACTTTAGGAAAATGCAGAAATCTGCTTTGAAATGGAGGAATTTATACACATGTTTAGAAGTCTGTGTACTCAAAAAAGAAACTGTCAAGCAGTTTGAGCTCATGTTTTACTTCTCAGTTTAATTTGCAAGGAAGAGATTTTAGGAGTTTGTTTTAGAAGGAAAAATAAAATTGGAGACCTATAACCTTTTGGCTATTCACTCGAATAGACAATACTTTTGTAAGAAGCTTGATACAAATAGTAGACATAGACAGACAACCTTCAAGAAGGAGATCTCTAAAGCCAGGAATTCTTGACTAATGTTTTTTTTGTTTCAGGGACCCATTTGGCAGTCTGGTGAAGTCTGTGAGCCCCTTCTCAGAATGATGTTTTTGAAGGCATAAAATAAAATACATAGGGGAAACCAATTATTTTGAAAAGAAGATGTTAATTTTTTTCCCCATCTAAAGTTCATTGATGCCTTGAAATCTATTCATTACCCCAGATTAAAAACCCTTGCTGTAAAGATAGATTTGTCACAGAAGGGAATTGGCCATGCAGTTGTGACTGACCACCTCTCAAGACCTTTTTATATCAAGGCTTGATGGTGCCCATCATTCTCCAGTAACAGTCAAGCATGTTCCGGGAAATGTGAGGATTGTGTGTGACATTCTGTAGAATCTGAAGGTTGAAAGAGATTTCAGGAGATTAGTTAGCTCTTCCCTCTGCTTTGGTTTGGAACTACATTTATACCTTCCCAGATCTAGAAAATTCTACCCTAAGATATAGCTTAAACATACTGCTTCTAATGACAACAACAAATTGTTTCAGAAGGGCAAATAACATTATGGACCTTTTGCCTATTCCCTTGATGAGATAGATTGTGAGATGCAAAAAGTCTGTTAAAACAGTTTTGCAATTTGGGCAACTCTGAGTTACTGAAATCTCAAAGTGAATATTCAGGGTGTGAGGCAGAACAGCCAGGCTATAGATTGCCTGGGGTGAGCAAGTTCTGAGGGTATCTAGTAGTCCAGTGCATTTTTTGGCAGACATCAATTGGTGATGAGCCAAGACTATCCTGTGAGAAAAACCAATATATGTAGTATGTGTGTATATATTCTCCCCCAATATGTCAATATATTGATATATCTATACATATAAAGTATATGTATAGCATATATAGAATATGTGTGTAGGATATATTATAGGATATATGTGTATATATATTATATATACTTGCATATATGGATATATTTTATGTCACCTCTAGGCTTTTCCTCATTCTCTATTCACCAAATATAGTACCTAGGGGGAAATAATCTGTATGTGCTTGTAGTAAAACATTTTACTATCTTAAAATCCAATAACTTCTGTGGCATAGAAAGTCACTTAGGAGGTGTCAGATTATGTGGATATGCACAAACATACAGTTCTCATTCTGCTGTTTTATAAATGGTCTTTGCCTCTGCTACATTCCAGTGGTGTTACCTTGAAAAGCCCCTCTTACCATATTAGCCTTGGCTCCTTCATCCTCAATATAGGGGGCAGGGCTACAAGATCTCTAAGATCCGCTCTTAAGCCTATGATCATCTCAGCATCACAAATCTTCCTCTTTTCAGAACTTGTACAGCATTTAAACAATTTAGCAACAGGTTGATACATGTTGTTTGGCTCCTGGCTCTGCCATCAACTCTTCCTGCCTGTGACCTTGAACAAGTTACTTCCTCAGTTTCAGAACCAGTTTCTTCGTGTATAAAATGAAGAGGTTGGGCTCAATGAATGTTAAAGGACTTGTCCAACTCTGATACCAGGACCTTGGAATGACATAGATTTCAAACAGGAAGGCACCTTAAAAATTGTGTGAATATTCTCTTCTAGGCAAGATCATAGACTCCCTGAAGGTTGTGATTGATTATATGGTCTATATTCCCCACACCTTTCCCCCAGATATTCAAAAGGTATTTTGTTGATTGATTGGTGGATGGTCCAGGACAATAAGAGTGAATGTATAAATATTAGTGATGTCACCTCCAAGGAATTTGGTTCTACAGATTTTGGAAGCTCTTTGCCTTAAATAGAATGGGATTCATAGGATATGGAACAGAAACCAGAGATCATCTTATTTAGCCCATACATGAGCAAGGATCCCTAAAGAATTCCTGGCAAATTGACTTGCAACT